TTTAAAAACAACTTATTACATAATTCAAAAGCTGTGCCAACTTTAATTTTATTTTTAATTTCCAATAAAAAATCTATTGTTATCATCCTCTTGTATAGATTCGATAATTTGTCAAGTTTTGTTTCTACTTTTTAATTTGTTAGTAAAATGTGTCAATCATAACAGTCAACTTTAGTATTATGAATATCCTGAGTTCTTTGCTGATCTTTTTCTAGCTGAACTCTGCATGGAATACGTACTTCTCATTCACTCGTGTTATATCGAGAACCTATCATTAGACATTTAAGACATTAAAACAATTATTCTGTCATGTCTATGCTACACTTCATGTTTCCTATAGCAAAAAATAAAACTCATACTGCGACCAATAGACAATATAAAAATACATAGTGTAGAGAAACAGCTGTTATAAATTTTTTGTACTATTCACACCATATATATTAAAATTAGAATCATAATACCAGTGTCATGATACAAAATGCAGTTATCAAAATTGATCAATTCAGAATGGTGTTTGAAAATTAAAGTGGATCAACATTATAAATTTCTTTCAATAAAGGATTTGTTGTACAATGTATAACTGAACTTGTATATTGAGCAAGCTCCTTAATTGAATGAATGGCAATAAGTCATAAGAGTTGATGAAGGTGTTCCTTCATAAAGAATACAAATTATCTAAAATGATCTCGACTATAAGTGAAACGTTATTAGATAATACGAAAAAAAAATATGCCTTTTGTTGTTAGCTTTATCCTGCGTGTCTGACATTATTGCTACAAAATAAAAAATAACAGAGTTGAACCAATATATAGCACTTTATTCGAGGGCACGTACAGCAATTGGAGTCTGTGCGTGTATTCTTCAGCATACATGCAATTACTATGAGCACGAAAAGAAGTTCGCCAACTCTGTATTATATCCCCGTCGGCACGTTAAAAATTCACAGACCATACACACTGCAACTCTAACATAAGCATACGAATACATTATAAACCATAACCAGCAAAAGAATGTTAACGTTGCGTGGCAACGCTTCTCTTCTGACACCCTTCACTAGTAATACATACATACGACTGAATTTATGCCATGAATAAATATCCATTTTATAAACAATACTAATGTTTAGTATTTATTTTACCGTAGTAAGCTTATTACCCAACACTCAACTGTTTAGTCTTCAAACTCATTTAACTGCGCTTAAGTGTTGATAACAATGAATGAGTAATATCTAAATATCTGTTACATTCAGTATAATTTGTATATAATCGTTCAATTCCAGCAAATATTAAATGATAAATTGATAAATAAAATATTCTCTATTTAATTCTTAGCAGAAAAAATCAAGTCTTCATTGACGTTTTTTAAACGCATAATGAAATATTCATGGCAAAAATTAAATTTAAAGTACAATAGATTTTTGAAGATCTGCTAGTCACATTTTTGAAGTTAATTTTCAAATATAAAGAAAGTTCATTTATTTTTGACAAAATAAAACTCAAACGCCGGAGGGTTTGCTTTCATTGTTCGTCTAAACGCTACTGCAGAATTTTCTAAAAAACTCTAATTCTCACTAACCGAAACCTGAAGGCAATATTTCTTATAACTCAATTTGAAAGATTAAAAAAAACCGAAATCAATTTAACAAAAGATGATTGAGAAACATATGCTATATAGTTCAATGGATCGATGATCAAGAAGATCAAGAAGAGACCAGTGAGGTAGGACAAGATCATGAACACTAATGAAAGATGATAGAATAAATTTGTATCAGAAAGGCTATTGACAGTTGCACCTTCAAGGACGCAAAGATTCGATTTTACAGAGAGAAATTAACAGGAATAATAATAATAAATTAAGCAACCAAGAAAAAAATGCATATTTTTCTTATGATCAATAAGTCATTGCTCAAAAAATTCAGGAAGACTGAATCTTTTCTGTTCTTTGTTTGTAATTTCTTACTTCTTTAAATGTATGATCAGAATATTCAACAAGTACCGTTAGACTGAATTTTCGAAATATTATATCCATACATGTATATGAAAACACAGATATCCTTCTGAGAACTTTTTAAAATAATTGTAGTCTACTAAACATTTATGAAAAATTTGGTTTTTAGTATCCTCACTAGAATAATCATTTTCTCTGTACTTTTTTCAGAGATTATTATACTTGTATAATATATATTATATTTATTTTACTCATAAGTGAGTTAAAATATGTATTGAAGCATATAATTTTATAATAAGTGATTCAAAGATTATTGTAATATCTGTATCTATATGTATATAGATCAGGATCAACAAACAAAGCTTCACGTCGTGAAGCTTGGCTGCTATATGATGAGAAGGTAAAAGCAGCTATAAGAGGGTAGTAAATAAAGTTTCATCGTAAAATCTCTTTTATCGTTATTATCTTTCTGTAAATCGAATTCGGTGCACCTATCCACTGCTTTGTCTAACCTCATAATTTAAAGTGTAATGTAAAACTTAATAAACAGTATATTTACCACATTATAAATAATTCCCAGCTTCACTAATTCCAATTGTACCATTAAACCAGTTGAAAAAAATCTGAAAATATATGAAAATATTAGATAGAACTAATTAAATAACATTAGTCAACATAAAGTCAATTATAAAATGTTATTAAATACTATACACTTCGAGTATGTTTGAATGATTCTTATATAATAACTGTTATTATTACTATTTTTATGATTATAGCTACGATGATTTTTTTATCATTTTTGTAATTATTATATTTTTTCGAAACAATATCATCATGATGACAATTGAAGGAATGTAATGTTATTATGCAATATAAATATATTTTTTTTATCTTAACAACAAAGTTCATGTTACCTTACTTTGCTCATTATTTAGTTATTTACATGCTGAAAATTATATTAAACAATCGGTCATCTCCACTCATATTATTTGTTTGTTTTTTTTTTTTTAATTTCATTTAAATTGAATCATTGGAGAGTTAGAAGAAACTCTAATACATTTATCTTTTGAATTTTTGTCCTGATGAAAGTTGATAGTTGTTTAAGAAACTATTTTCTATCAAATATTATGTAATATATAATAGTAAATAATAACTTCTATTATAGTATAAATATCAATAATAATGTAATTATTAAAGTAAAATTTTAATTCAATGAAAAATTAAAGTTTTTGCTTCAAAAAGACCTGAACATTAGCAATATGTGAAAATAAGTAAAAATTGGATTATTAATATTTATTGTTTATATTTATTATATATACGTATGCGTGTAAGAATAAAATGCATGAGTGAGTCTAACAAAAATAGAGTGGAAGCTACTAATTCACACACCAATTACACTTCACATTACTTTAAAAATGTATAAGATTGTTTATTAAATTTATTCAGCAGATTAAATTAAAATCAGTAAAAGTTCAGTGTTCTTTAATATCCACAAATATGGATAAATTTTTTTTCTGTTTATATGAACAGTACAAGAATGCTTGAAACTAATAATAAGTCTATATTTTTACCGTTTTGAAAATATTAGGTATAATTGTCAGATAGAATTGACGAATAAAATTTGATAAAGAATTTCAAAAAACTAAAGCTGCCAATTTTACCTTGAAATTCCAGGATTGTTCTGCCATGTCCTTCCTGAAACAATCATTAAAACATGATGATAATGTTACCGAAAAAAAAAAGTAAATATTTGCTCAGTTTTAATTTTCAAGGCAAAGTTTGAGAGTTACACTTGTATCCTATTAATTCCAAATTGGAATTAAATATTTTATGTAAAATTATTTGATAAGTGATTTTGATCACAGTGGTATACAGATGTTAGATTTGTATAAATTTTAGTGCTGTGATAAATGAAAAATTGAAAAATTTCGTACAAAAGAATTTATAAAAATTTCTACAACATATGTAACTATTTAAATTATCAGTTCTCATAATCAAATTACAAATCATCACTACTTCAATATTCTATAACTCTAATTAGATTTCAAAATAAAAATTATATACATACCTGTGCTATCGTAAATACAAATGTATTTTTAATGTATTATTACTATAGATTGAATTGATACTTCAATCGATAAATAATGATAACATTATGATCGATTATTGTAAACAAGTGAATACATTAGACTCAATACATCAATGTACATTAAATTGATTCAATGTATACACAATGTAGCACAGCATGAAGAAATTCATGTAATATTGACCTTGTTCATCGTCTTATTAAGTCACACATTACTAATATAGTTATTTATTTATATGTATGGTATACTTTTATTTCGTATCCGACAAATTTTTATGACTTATTAAGACTTTCATGACGAATAATTGCAACCTGGATTATTAATTATATATAAATATTATATTTAGTAAAAATTCTCATTTTTCCCGATACTTTCTACTTCCATTTTGATCTCCACGTGTACCTGTAACATTCAGAAGATTTCGAAATATGCATGATTATAGGTGTATGTACAATTACAGGAAAAAACAAAAATTACAAAGTTAGGTTATATTTTAAAAATACTTGAAAAACAAAAGAATGTATATGTATTTCAGTGATAATTAAAGATAAATACTTCAGAGGATCATAATTTTTACTAAATTCATTATTTTAGGTCGCAAAAAACTTGCAATTCTACTTATTTGATGACGCACATCAAAGAGTGACTTCAGGTCAATTAGACCTCAGAAAAATGAAGTCATTTTGAGAAGTCCTGGTGGTAAAATTGTCACCGACACCCTTTCTTGAATGCACGAAATAATCCCCTCTGTAGTTGCGATAACTGCTTGCCTAACAAACCCCACCTTTTGCGATTTGTTCTTCCTGTATGCTGGTCTACCGACGGCCTTCTTTACCCCACCATTTGTGACTTTTCTGCTATCTCTTTCTCACTGGTGCCACTTGTGTGTTGGCCTCTGTCGCCACTGTCGCGCCGCCGTTGCCGCCGCCGTCGTCTCGTTGAACCACCACAAACTAACGTGCATTACCACGGAGTGCTGCCGCTACCAACACTCTTAGTGAGCAACGGACTACATATTGGTGATGATCAGACTTTCGGTCTCGCTTAAAAATTTGTTTTTATTTCGTGAATCTGTGAATGGAAGTTATTATTTTGTAATATTTACAATACTATTGCTTATGATTATTCTACACTTAGTATCAATGTAAAAAATTGTGATTTTTCAAAACATTCTAGAAAGTTGTAGTTAGTTTCTTTATTGCAGTCTTTAGAAAGACTCGTGTTTTTTTTCCATGTTTACATGAACACGAATAGTGAAAAATAAGTTTTGATTTTTTCCGTTTCACCTTGATATTTAGTATGGACTTGGAAGCTTGGTAACAATAAAAATATGTTTTTGAATTGTATATGACCAAAGGCACTTTGAAATATTTGCAGGCGTATTTGGGGGGTTGGACCTTGACTTCCGGGGGCGGTGACTCCCTGCTGTTGCTGCGCCTGTTCCACGTGACAGGCGCGAGCGCGTACTTGGTGCGCAGCGTGTGCACGCGAGTTCAGAAGAAAGAAAATAACAAAAAGTATTGAGAAAAGAAAAAAGTGCGATGTGCGTGTTTTTTACTTATCACCTTGATACATTTTGAATCGCACGCGATAATGAAAATTCACTGATTTTGTATTGGAATATTTTTGCGTGTATTTTAAAAAATACACTTTAACCACACGCCGTGGGAATAAATAGAAATAATATAATATTCTTTATTTTCGACTGCTGATTGTGGCTTAGCAGTTGTTACAATCGTGAGAACAACGAATAATGCAGACAAGACACAAAAGTTCCAAAATTTCGTATTGACAGGTAAGAAAATACATTGTTATATTATATCAAAACCACAAGATAGCTGAAAATGAGTCTAGTATATAATAATTTCTTTTTTCGTTTCAACTTACAGAACTTTCATTGAATCCAAATACAATGAGTTTCATTCTTTAACGAACTCAACATATCAAATGTAAACTTAATTGCTAATTATAAAAGGATTTCTAGAGATAAATCTAACGTCAATTAATTGGCAAGTATCAGGAAGAGAAAAAATACGGCACAATCATGATTTTAAAACACTTACTTCCGTGACTGAGCTAGTACAGTTTAAATACAATCAATAGTTAAGAAATCTATGTTGAGGACAGTGGATCATTTTAAACTAAATTATGACACGAAATGTAAACATGTGAGCAATTATATAGATGGCTCATATTCATCTTGATTGTCATCAGATTGCTATGTAAGTGTAAGAGGCTAATACAATGTTACCGTTGCGGGAACTTGCTCAATTACTACATGGTTATTTTTGATTATTGGACACAATGACAAACTCGAATAACTTGTAGTATCTAACATAATCTCACTTGCTGATAAAAATATATTAGTAGTAGTAAGTCAAATACATGCAACATGTGTTTATATTATATGATAACAATGCGAAAAAGACTTGAGTATTTAATATGATTATAGAACTACTACAAACTAATACAATTATACCGTTGGAAATTACAAGAAAATTATTAAAACTTCTTCCAAGCTAGATAAGTTTAGAGGGGTCATTTACTGCAATATCTACTCACCATAGAATATAACTTCCTCTAAAAAAAAATTCAAGCATGTCACTCATAGAATGATATTTTTTTATAAAAAAATAACAAATAATAGGATAGGTAACATGAAGAGAGATTTTCACGTGCGTGTTTCTTTACTGCAACTACTTATTTATCAATCTGTGTTAAAAATTAACTACACTGGATGAACCTGGAAAAACGAGAATTAAAATAAATCTATAAATCTTTAAAATGCATAATAGATGTAGAAATTTACATATTATTTACTGGATTAACTGATAATATACAATGTAACTATTTTTTTCTCTACGCTGATACTTGAAAATGGAAATATATTAAACTATGTATCAATTAATTGACGCAATCTAGTTCTAAATATGTAGTTGTTAGTTACATCTATATAAATGATTTATCAATACCTAAACTCGTGCTATTTGTATCTATGAAATAGATATATGATGTATTGATACATAAGAATGAGATCAACATATCTTCATTTTTTAACTAATTGTACGTTACAATACTTATAAACATTGCTCATTGCTAGAGGGCAACTTTCGTGTCGATAGTTAATTAATTCATAGTATAATATAGTGAATAATTTAGCAATCGATTATGCAAAATTATCATTTATACACTCTTTTTATATATTGATTCACTGCCCCGCGGTTAATGCCTATATTCCCATTTTAATAACAGTTCATACTACTTATCACATGATATCTTCTTATAATTAACTGAATATATTGACAAAGTTAGCGAATATCAAATGATGTTTAATTATACCATTGTATTATTAGGTCTCATCTATTTCTTTTTTCATTTATTGTCTATGTGATCTTATCAAATATTTTTCTTATTTCTAATTGAGAATTGAATTCATCTAATAATTGAAATTAACTAACATAAACAATTTATTACTTTACCAAGAATTTGCACTATAGAGAAAAATATACTTATATACTTACATACTTATTATAGGTTTTCAAAATGTGACATTTATTATTTTTTAAAATATATTTTTATTATGTTATATAATTTTAAAAATTTTTTAATGAAATGAATAAATGTATTCTTGATAGGAATTTTAATAATGTCCAATATTTTATTAGAGATTTTCTTGCAATACTTTTAGTAGTGGTTATTTACATAGTAATTCTTTGCATATAATTTAGCCCAAGCCTACAATAACTGATCTTATTTTATAAAACTAACAGTTTTATTGATTATTAAAATATAAAAATGATTAGAAAAACAAGTTGTCATTTAATATTTTTTTTTATTTTTACAGATTTGAGATCCTCACGAAGGTTATCGACTTGAGCCATAAAAATGCTGGAGAAAAAAGTTTTTCATGTATCAAAACAACGGTGGAAACTTTCATTCAAGTAAAAGAAAGTAGTGCAAAAATTTTTGAATATTTATAACAATTTCATTTGACATAAAGTGATATTATATAACTATAGTGATTAGACAATTAAATATTTAATAATGAGTAGTGAAAACGAAATTTCATCATTTCCTAATGATGTCAATTCTTCTGGAAATGGAAACACAGGAGTGAATTCAAGAACACCTCCAAATTGCGCGCGTTGCCGCAATCACCAATTGAAAATTGCTCTCAAGGGGCACAAAAGATACTGTAAGTATCGAAATTGCACTTGTAAGAAGTGTATTCTTACCAAGGATCGTCAAAGGGTTATGGCTTTACAAACAGCTATCAGGAGAGCTGACGACCAGGACACCACAAGAGTTCGCAGACCGGAAGAGGTTATTTTTTCTTTGTTCCTTAGGAAAGAGTATATGATTTTTTTTGTTGAATTCTTTTAACCAAATCGTGACTACTGCACATATGTTTTGTGTTCATGTTTACAGATTTTTTAAATTTTATTACTTTATTAAGACCATAAGACATGAATTATAGCTCTTTTAACCACTGACACATGATATGAACGAAAGAACTTTTTTTTTTAATGAAAAGAATGTTTTATTAGTCGTAAGCTGCTATTTGAATAGAAGTTGAACAACATTTTTTTTTAATAAGTTTCAAAAAATATCATTGTTCATACATATGAATTGTTTTTACTAGTGTACTAAAAATGATGTTTTAATTTAGCACCAAACATTTTTTTCATCATGGCCAACTGTTCAAACTATTAACAAAATCTATTGATAAATTTTGAAAGTTCTATAGATATCATATATATTTTATTTTGCCCTAAAATTTTTTCATACTAAAAATTTATATTATTCAGAGGTAAAATAGAATCTTGGATATTCGAATACCTATTTAGAACATGAAAAATGTTTAATCACTTTGACAATATTCAGTATATTCATAATAGTCAAGTATAAAAAAGAAATTTACCAAGTGCATGGAACTATATTATCTGCATTAAAAGAAAAAAATTATTGTGAAATATATAAAAAGTAACACGCTAAATATGATCAGAGCGAAGTTTGCATGTAACTCAACCTAATAAAAGTTAAACTTTTCTTTAGAAATATAGTTGAAATGATTACAATTTGAAATAATGTAGTAAATAATGGAGTATAATTCATGTGCTGCTTTTCTTTAACTTGGAAATAGAATTCAACAGAATCAATTACAGATCAGATGTTTAAAGCAAATAACTGTTCGTGCTCCTATAATTTACAAAAACACGAAGATCTATGACCTTTATAGTTTTTTTTCTCAGCAGGTGGAACCTCGGCCATTGGCCTTGGACCGAAAACGATTGATTTCGGTCCGTCAATCCGTGAGGAGTCTAGAGGGTAGTCGTGACAGCAGCAGTGGAGATTCGCCTATAAGTAATTACGGTAGTACTGGTGTCCACATCGTTAGTGTTCCAACTTTACAGAAGCTATCATCTCCCCTCGACAATCATTCATCCTCGGCTACGCAATTACTTGAACCGAGGAGTTGTGAGTCACATATATGCATAAAAAATCCTATAAATTGTTTTATTTCAATGATTGCGACAAATTATTTCAAAGTGAATTAATCGACGTAGCGATCTTATTAAGTTCTTGCGGTTGAGGCAATATGATACTTATATTTCGGGCAATGTTTCCTACCTGTTGCGTTCAATCTTATTCAACTTCTCCCTACTGTCTTGCTGAACGTAAAAGTATTTTTTTAATGCTTTCTTTCGCTTCAAGTTACAACATAAACGAAATATTACCATATTATTCCACTAATTAGTTACTAAAAGAGTTACAATTTTTATTTAATTATTAATTGAATAACAATTTGAAATTTAATGCACATTTAACAATATTACTTTCAACCACAGTTTATCCAAAATTGGAAACTACACAATTACAAATCATTTTCTCCAACTGCTAACAAAATAAATAATTTGCTCGTAAGTAATAACTCGAAGTCATTATTAAAGTGATAGAGCGACCTTCTTTCTTAGCTGCATGATCTGCAAACAAAGCTGCACGTTCAGTATTCGTAAGACAGTAGGAGGAAGAAAAAAAAATTATATTTTATTTTATTAAACCGATCGTTTCTAAAGCCCATTTGAATAGATTTACTCTTTAATTAGTGGTAAATAAAATGCGCGTTGTTTCCCAGGGAATAAAGTATTTTATTTATAATGAATCTTCATTATCAAGCAATTAAGTTAGTAAAGTCAACTGTTGCTCTAATTACCAGTACTATTTAGCCTTATCATGAAGATTTTAATTTAATATTTACTTCAGCATAGTATGAATTACAAACTTTCCAAGTATACTTTATCTATATATTTAAATATACAATATTCATTTCACTAACAAATATATATGTCAGCAAATATGAATCAAGCATAATGTTGATAAAAATTTTAATCAGTCAGAATTATATGGAGAAAGAAGATTGAAAATGAATAATCTCACTGTACATGGTTGATAGTGTCGATAATAAGTGTATATTCAATAGAAAGGTATATTGAATAGTGAGCGATCTCGTCGAAATTCAAGCAATACTCATTCACTTGACAGTACGACTGAATGTCGAGTCTCTCAGGTTTACGAGCATCCTCATTGGTTGGTGAACCATTCGAAACCGACTAATATAATACGGACTTATAACTAAAGCCAAAACCTAGAAGCTCTCAGGCTCCGTGTTTTTACGAGCGGCCTGCACGTTTTAAAAAGTTATCGTTATTCTGCTCTCCTTCTCATAAAATAGTTTCTATTGTCGATGTATAAGTATAACTATACGATGTTGAATTTGTATGTATGCATGCAACATCCGTTCTTTCGGCATTTTAACGACCCTCTTATTTTCATCACCACCGAGTTCACATTTCACATACACTTTTGAGATACTGACTTTTATTCAGATCAACCTGGACTGTCATCTTGTTGTCAATGAAAATTATACAAATATTTATGGGTAATTTAATTCCTAAATATTGCAAGTATGTTACAACAAGAATCCTTTTTAGATAACTAATAAATTCTATCAATTATTTACGATAATTTTATTGAATTTATGATCTAGTTCAGTATTAAAAAAAAAACAAAAGTGTAACCACCCTTTCAGTTCGAGTTATCAATAACTGAAATAGAATTTTTTTATAACTTCTCAAAAAGCACATGACTATAAGAAAATTTATTTCGTGTTCTACCTACATATAGAAAGCTTCTTCAAACCTTTCTGATTTTGAATAATAGATACAACTAATTTTATTATATAATAATAGTGAGTGAATTTTACATGTGTATAACAAATTACTCTATATTTTTATATTCTATTCGCTATATTATTATCACAATTTGAACAATAGCTAAACTATCATCTTACCCTTGCCATAAAAAAGTAGGGTCGAAAGAATAGATTTTGCTTGAGAGTCACGTGGCTTATCCAAGATTAACTTTACGATCTCTTTGGACTTTTTGATGTAATAGGTTGTAGTCTTGAACTGAACACCTCAGAAAATTATTCCAACAACTTCAAACAACTGAATGTTATCTTTTATTAGATTGATTTTTGATCAATACAGATTTGAAAACATTAATAAAATAACATTAGCAAGTAATCAAAAAGTTGTGATGAAAATTATCACACATTAGTACACATTCAGAAATTTGCATTCTCAATTTGAAGTCATCACAGTATACCATTTTTCTCGTTATTTCCTGTCAGTGTAGACTGAAATTCCGTGTAAAAACTCAGTAATTGATTGATCACTTTTTCATCTAATATTTGACGAACTTTTAAAGCAAAAATTTTTTGAAAACAAAAATGTATGTTGGGTCAATATGGAGAAAATAATCTGTTATTCATTCATTTTGAGCAAACTTTTTATAAAAAAAAAGAAAAACACATTAGTACAGATAATTTTATTCTGTTAGTTATGATAAATAATATAAAGTATAACTAGGGTATATCTCTTAATATATTTTCATCACATTAATAATAATAATAATAATAATATAGTCCTACATAATTTTTCTTTTGTAAATTTAAATTTTCAATTTTATAAATCTTAATTTAACAATTAATTTAATTTAATACCCTTTCAATAAGTAAATGTTCCCCTTTAATTTTGTCTTCGATGCTTACTTACCGTAGTTCATCAATAATAGTAAGCATGAACTAAAAAAACATTTAGTTAAAATCAATATTGAACATAACAGCTATTGATAAATTGAATTTAATAGAATATTAAAAATTCATTAAAACTTTTTTGCCAATTTTTTTTGATTTTATGAGAATGCTCTGAAAAAAGTATCAGTTTTCAACATTCCTGCCACGGTAGATGTATGAATGAATTTACGAAAATAATACTGACAGATTTTAAAGGTATATAGTTTGTACTTTGTGTTAATAGGGTGAATAATTCGAAAAACAATAAAAAAAAGTATAACATTTGGTAGAGTGATAATAGCGTCTCCAGCTGCCTCTGCTGAGTTGAAGCACTTGGGAACATAATGGTTTATAGCTTCATCGCGTAAACACCATTAATGGGTAATAAGTCTGCGATTAGTTCTAGGTCGGTAATGAATTACATTCCTTGCAAAATTCTATTCTCATGTTCAAGTTATCCCCAAAAAAATCACCGATATATTTTAAGTCTTTTTAAATAAACCACAATTATATTACAATTATTTATAAGATTCATTACCAATAATTTAATCATATCTAATTGACTTTAATCATCTAATTCGATTAAAAATATTCTTACACGTTAACAGTAACATTTTATTGAAATTGAACAGTATTTTACATTTTATTTTTATTAAACAGTAAATTTAAGAATTTATTTATTACTGGATAACCAGCAGTTTTTTTAAAAATAAATAATCTTTTAAAATTTTCACAAATAAAGGCATTACAGAGTTTCAAATTTTTCAATGCTAACTTGAATCTAAAATAAAATTTATAACATAAACTTTATTGATAATTCTCGAAAATTTACACATGAATGGTTAAAAAAGACAATCTGAATTCTGTCTTATTTCAATCCTAAAGGAGATTCACCGTAACTTTCAGCAAAATTTACGACCGTAAAAGATATAAGAATAATATCAAGAATCGACGGAGCATTTTGATGACTGGCTATAGGTTCAAGGGGATTCAGCTTATAGGTAATAGTAAAGTCTCCCAGCCACAGTTTAGTGAGTAAGGCCAGTCTCATCATCGAGACGCTTTACGACACGTACGGTTAAATGATGTGTCACTTTCTTCTCTATTCTTTCAAATAGCAACTACCCTTTTTGATGTTTTTAGCTCACCCTCAGATACTTTTGAGGATGTCATAAAATTGTTTTACTAATTTTTGACTCTCTGATTTATAGAACAAGTCATCTACTTTTATCGATTCTATTCAAGAAGTGATGTTGCTGCAATTTTCAAGTTGTATCTTCATCATTTGTTTTCATGTTCATTATTTAATAGTTTTATAACACAGAAAGCTCTAATCATTTAAAAGATAAAACCTATTTAATTTAGAAGTTTTTCTTCTGGATTCATTTGCATTAATTTACTTTACATGATTAAGTCATTAAAGGCATCAACAATGTGTACACCACTTGACCCATACATTCCTTGTTAATATTCATGATTAACATAATCATAGCTTTCTTAAAATTACTTTTATGTATTTTTACCAATACTTCATCATTGACATGAATTATTTCCTCCATCATTTCATTTTTCACCTTATTCTATCACGAAATAAAAAAAAAAACAGTTCTCAATCCGATACGCAGTCATAAATCTATGTATCAACTCTGCAATCCTATGTCTGTAAATTCGGTCCTCATACTTGACAAAGGAGATTCGATTACGCAGGACAACAGTATCATTGCTACAAAGCGTACTCTCGCAGGCCCCTGAATCTTCTCTCTTTTCCTATGGTACATATCATATGCTTTTCGATGGCCTCTCACCCATTTTCTCTCTGCAACATGAGCCTACAGAGTTGTATATGGACATTTACTCATGTAGGCATCACTCGAATTTATACTAAAAAAATCTATTGTCTATAGAATAATTTATTATATTGATTATTATAGCATAATTTGAACTTCATAAACTGCAAGACATTAAATGTGCAAAATATTTAGTAACACTCTTATCATGATACTTCTTGGGTATGGGATATATTCATATCGTATATAGTGACTTCTTAGTAATATTGTGTTTTATTTCTTCAGTTCGTGATAAAGTGTTAGACATAACAAATTTTTTTTAATTCTTTTCAACTGTATTTGCATTTGGTGTTGAATGATCATTTTAGCATGAATACTTTCATGATTTTTATTCCCATTCTTTCAAAAAGTTTATTAATTAATATTTTAGTTAACTTTTCTATTTTATTTTCTCTCAATGAAAAAAGAGAACTGAATGTACTTTAAGCCTATATTTTATTTTGTAACTGTAACTAACAGGCAGTGATCCCATGTTACAGTATTATAATACAATACTTTCATTTGTATAAGTATGGTATCGTCACAGAGTATGCAAGTGTAACGACTGATTGGTTTGTTGTTCATTCTAAATGTTCTAGATTACCTTTCAGCGAATCATTCTATCTTTTCCATGAAATCATTTATGCAAACTTTCACATGACTTGGAATGACTGTCTTATAAATTTTGTGATGAAGAAAAAAAATTTGTGATATCAATTCAATGATATTAAAAAATTCTTGTCTATGATCAAACATAATATTATTGAATATAGAAGTTTCATGTATTTGTTGGAATATACGTTTGATAGTGATCATCAAGTGAATAGCAGAAAATAAAAAATATTGTCGTGTTACGTTAATAACAGATAATTTACAATGTCTAATTATAACATCTGCTTTAGTTTATTTATATAAAAAAATATTTTATTTCAACTTTATGCAAGTGTTCTACATTTTATTGTGATCACATCCAATATCTTTATGTGAATTTTATCAGAATATTTCCAACGTATCAAACTCACACCTTTTCTATTCATTAAGTATTTTCTACAAGAATATAAATATTATGGACATATAAAATTGACACTAGTTCTGAGGAAATACGTACTAATAATTACAGCAGCAGTTGGATTAGCTAATACTCTTGTTAGATAGCTACAAAACTAGAGGAAATTTACAGTTTATCAGAATTCAGAATATAAAATATTTTATTATTAAGAACATTAACAGTATGATAGGCGAATCGTTGAAATATACGATTTCAGAGAGACTGAAAAAAAACTCAAACGATGTAGAAAAATTATAAAATGTTAATCAGCAGAGAATTATTATTCTGACTGTTTCAAATAACTACTCTCTATCATAAGACAATAATTTGCAATTTTCTTTATTCGTTAGAATACGTAATAAATACTCTTTTAAGAAATCATGAGATACTTGGATATATTTTTTTACACAAATTAGTAGTTTTAGTAACAATCTCGATAGAAATTCATTTAATTTTCACTACGGAAATAGATTAAAGTCCGACTATTATTTTATTCAAAACTCAACATTTTTTTTTTCTTTTTCTTTATCTATACTACGTTAATAAATGAACGTTAAATTATTCCTAATGACAGCATTGGTAGATTAAATCTAATAATTTATCGTTTCATAACGAATTTTTTTAATGACTTTCGTATAAAGAATATGGACTCTCGAACTTGATATCTCTGAATAAAAAGAGGTTTATTCAAATCTGACCGTATCAATAAGTGCTCCGAATCACTTAATGTTGATCATAATTTTCTGAAAGATCAATATTACTCCGATATTCAATTAAAAATTTTTTTAACTACTCCTTCAGTAATAATTTGATTATTTATTAAAAATATAGTAGTGTCATCATTATATTTATTTAAAAAGCTAAGATAATATTTTATTATTAAAATAAATATTCAATTAGTTCAAGTAGTCAGTTCATTGTATTATCAGTTATATTATTATGGTATTATCGTCGCAAAATACACTTTAGCAAATTTTATCATTCTCAATGTTATTTACAATTTGTATCATTAGTAAAGCTATAATCGATTCATACAATAATTCATATTTTATCTAAGGTATTTTTCTACGTTCATTTTGAATGGAAATTTTTATAATTATTGTAATTAAAAATAAATTTCTTATTTCTTCAAGTTGATAAGTTATATTATCTTTATTTCTTCATTTTTACATATTTATAATTGGAGAAATAAATGCGACTTGTTTTAATTGGTAACTGGTTCCGTGTTTAAATTCTGTTTCCAAGAATCCAGTTTATTTGTAACAAAATGAATATTAATACCTTTGATTAAAACAATTCAATTTGAGGGATATTTAATAAAATTCTATCAGATTTTCACTCGTATCCCTCAGAACAACGACATAATGTCTCTGAGAGCACCGTTTACATTTCAAAAAGAGTCCTGATTCTTGTGGGCGGAGTCGCGACTACCTTATGGGACGGCATTGGTTCACGTAATACCTAATATATCATACTATAACAGCGTAGAAACTATTGTCCCGTTAGGTTTCTTCTATTCAAACACTAGCAATAATTACTTACCATTTCTAATCAATATAAACTCGCAGACTGTTCTGCATGTCATGAAATCTACATGCTGAAAATATCGTACCAGGTGTAAAGACAATAATATCAAGTCTTATAATTACGGATAATCAAAACACAAAAGATTTTTTCTACCAATCCATTACAATTATTTTTAAAATAACCAATTTCATGTAAAGACTACACTATGGCCCTTTTAACACGCTCTAATTATGGCTATAATTTTAACTTATTCATGAGAGAAATTTAACTTCACACCCATGTTGAGAAAAATATGAGTGAATTTTAAAGTAATAATTTTAAAATTATTCTCTGAAAAAAAAAATAGTTTTATTAAATTATTATCTCATGATTTTTTAATTTTTTCTTTCTTGGTAATTTTTTTCTCGTATAATCTGGGCAAAAGGTACTATACTTTCTCTAACATGCATTCGTAATTACTCCACTTTCTCGTATCAGTGATAATTTAATTATTTAATAAATAAAAAATTCTTGATAATAATAAGTCTCTAATGCCAATAAATATTTTTGATATTTAGATGAAAGTGTCGAGGTGCTACTGGAATGTAGTACAAAACTATTGGAGCGATTTTGGTTTTCGTGGGAGATGTTGCCATTGGTGTATATAATATTAAAAGATGCAGGAGCAGACATGGAAGAGGCATCGAGGCGTATTATGGAAGGTAAGAAACATGAAATTCATTATGAATAATGTACTAATTGTCATGAGATCAGTGGTGTTATAGCGTGAAAATAATTCTAGTCACGTTTTTCAAACCACTTCATGAGCTGTGCTACGTCTCATTCACAATGATAAAAAACGCGTTGCATAGTCATTCTGTATAATTCTGTAAGCTACTTGTTGTCATTCCTCCGTATAGTGTAGTGTCACATTAACTATCATCTATCTTTAACACATTAGATATCAAGATTATTAGCACGCTGAAATGTATTTATTATTAACATTGTGTAACTTGTTATGTTCATAAACACATGTTGTTTTTATACTTTATATTTCCTGATTTTATTTTCATTTATACACATATATTATGTCTAAATTTGTGATAATTAAAAAATTGCGTTTTTTTTATTGTGAATGGACGAAAAATATTAGATTTAATTAAAATTATTGATGTATTGTGAACCAATAAATGCTTAGAAAGAGCATTTTTTTCTCCAGCTCTGGCCAAACTTCTTCTCAAGATATTCTGGCTGTCAAAGAGTGTATTTTATCAAATTGAAGATTTTAATTCTGACATTAATATTTTTTTTATAACATGAAATTTTAGTATTCTGCTATTTTGATTAATGGGTATTATAACTTTTGATATTTCTAACTTGATCTGATCATGAAAATAATTGACCCAAGTATCAGAACCATTGATTGAAACCAATGGATAGCTCCAATGAAGATCCAATGTGCTTCCTGAAGATGATGTCAACTTTGAAGATATTTCGTGGTTACAAATTATTTCTATTTAATTTTACTACTGGTTAATTTAAATGATTTAAATTATATTTAAAAAATTATTTCAAAATAATTTGATTGACTATTAAATGAGTACTTGAATAAAGTAAAATAATTAGTCAAAATACGGCAATGAAGATTCTTAAAGTTTTCTCTGGCAAATATTGGATATTAAGGTAGAGTAAAATAAACTACTTGAATCTACTAAAAAAGAATCATAAAAACTATTCAAAAAAATATCATTCCAATTTCAAAATAATTCAAAACAATGTTTAAAATTTTTTTATCGTATTTAAAAAAAAATTAATTGAAAAAACGAAGAAAAATTAGATTGAATTTTTGGAATTGGAATAATTGTAATAAAGACATTTTAGGGTCCGGTTAAATCATTTTAATAATTAATAAATTCTAGATTTTATGGTCTCAATGATAGTATGGTATTCTTACTATAGCTACTATTCTCAATATAGCTATATTAATTATGAATTCTCTCTGAGTTAGAGGTATATTTGCCATCAGTGCACAATTCACAAAAATATTCAGTCACCCAGTGAATATAAGTTTTTTTCTGTAGTATATAATAAATTATATATTGATCGGAAAAGACATAGCTTGTATGTACTCTCATCTTTCTCAATTTATTACACACACTAGCACTACTTATGTAGAGTGCAACGAAGTAACACACGTTGTCTACAACGAACATGGCAGGTATTATTGTCTACCATTGCATGTTTAACATGAATATTTTATTTAAAAAGTTATCAATTGCAGTTAAAATATCAAAGTCACTACATAACATTCTAAAACGATATATTCTTTATGCAATTTTATTAAATCGCAATCTATCTTTAAAATATTCATTTATGTCGCTTCCATATTTTTCATGTAAATGTAATATTCTACAATCAAGAAAATAGTTTCTTTTCTTGTAATTCATATGGAAATACTACAATTTTTTCTAAATCATGTAATTATTTACAATAATTTGAAACTTTCGATCATTGTATAGTTTAATGATACTTACATTATTTGATAATAGTTGGAGAACTGTGATAAAAATAGATGAACATATATTATTGATCATTAATGTCTTCATTTACGTAAATGAATAAAAATTACAAAATTAGTTTTCATTTCCTATTATTGCTTTAAACCTGAGTCATTTTAAATTATAGTTGCAAAAATTTAATCTATGTATATTGATTCAAACTATTTGATTTTGTATGTTGATATATCGCACGTGTAACATTTTTCGTCTATTAACTATTCATCATTTTTAAAAAATTTCTTTGTATTGAAAATTCAAATTGATTACACGAGCTAGAAAAATTAAAATTTCTTCTTCAACTCATTTAATATAATTGTACTATTTTGTAAACAATATTATCGGTATTAAAAACCTCTAAATAATTTTCTTATCACCCAATTGATAAAATATAATAGTTTTTAGGAAACAATTTTTTTTATTTTAACAAAACTCGTGTCACCAATAAGACCTTCAAACTTTTTATTTATCGCCATTATTAATAAACGGTTTCAATCCATACGATAATACGTTAGCTAATTTTTTTCGCTATCGTACTTTGTGCTATTTCCATTTTTCAATGTACGTGATTTCATAAATGACATCTAAAGTAACACAAGGTATAGAAATGAACGGTATGTAAATAAATATTCAATAGACCGACAAAGTATGTGAAAAAATGTGTGCACTGTTATTAAGGTTTACATACATATTTATTCAAGACAATCTTTAAAAAAAAATAGTAAAATATGTCGATTAAATTTTATAGGAAAAATTGCTTTGAAACTAATATCGATTACGAGACATTGTAATAATTGAATACAATTTAATAAAATAATCTAATCACTAATAATATACGATAACAAAAAAATTAAATTTTAAATTTTCTAGTACATATTTTAAAGTTCAATAGCCATTTAGAATTCATTAAATGCATTTTTTAAAAATGCAGCTTAGTGTCTTGATATTAATGACTTAATATAAATAGTTCATAAAATATTAAACTGTGGAAAACAAATCAGAAATTAAATATAAAAAAGTAAGAAGATGTTTTTCTACAATATATTATGCAGTAATTTTATACTCATTAATGATTGACACAAGTGTAATTAAGTTTTATATAATGTAAATGCAGCGATTTAGCTTGCGGAAATATAGACGTGAGGTGATCGCCTGGCACAGTCAGCCAACTTAACTAAACGGCATATGATTGATTTGGCAATACATTTTTCAGCACATATTTCTTTTCAGTTCATAAATATAACATTTATGTATCAATGTATATGAGTATTCCTTGACATTAAAAGTAATTTTTGCATTTTTTCCTATTATGTTTTTTGATACATCTATTGATTAACAGAGACGTATTAATAAATGAATATTTAGTATGATATTGAATAAAAAAACTCATCTAATTACCTCGGTATATTAAGTAAATTATATTAATTCTATTATGTTTATAGCATATAATCAATTTTTCACACTCAAGTTTTATTTATTTTTTATCTTATAACCTGTCGTAAGAATTGGAAAAAACGATATTAAATTTGAAATTAGATTTGCAAGTGCTAGTAATTATCTTATGATCTATGACATTAATGTCACACTGTACTTCGACCAACCGACGGGTTTCTGACGCATAAAGTTTCTAAGTTTTATAACTTGAGAAACTTAAAAGACATTCTAAAAGGTCCCTCGTTCTTCTCAATATGACTCTTTCGCGACATAAAATCGTAAAAAGGACCTTACAACCGGGAGACATAACAGTCACCAAGCTCGATTTATTTATGCTCTTTAAACGACGTGTGCACACTTTACGATATGTAAAAACATTTCATATTATTGTACAATAGGCTCGTCACTCAGATTGTAAAGAAAAAAATCCTCTTTAATTTTCTCACTTGACTAAACTATAAAAATTCATTTTTTTCTTTTCCATAAATATAATTTTTCAAGTAAGTACTTGAAACAATAGACTCTAATTATACATTTCCCTTTATAGTTTTGACCGCGTATTAGTAGCACTGGCTGAAATCCAAATGTTCCTGCTCGCATTCTGTTCTTTACTGGTATCAATCCTTATTCTTTATTAATAGTCAATGAGTGCATTCATAATTATTCGGACGTGACGTTTCTTGAACCTTTGAAACTAGACACGTAAGGCACTCTGTGTGGAAATTATTATTTCAAATATAACATTTATAACATAAAGAGTAAAGTTAGGCTCTGTAAAGTATTAGCGTCAAGAACTTGTAATAAGTCTGTATTTTCTAATTGTCTACCTAAATGGCAGCGTCGACTGAAGCTTGTGCAATGTTAATTTCAGTGAGCTTGTGACACACTGTAACGTTGAAGATTCAAGAATATGCATCCTTTTTTGTTTATTTCTCTAGAAATTTCTGGAAACCTGTCCAACAAGAGCTTCTAGATCTTTGAATTTATAAATTGGTAACAAATGTCACACATTGTAGATTTTTAAAAAATAGTAAGATTTATTCTATGAGCTGTGTATTATGCAAAATAAGTGAAATAACCATTTTCACTGTCAATGAATTACTTTTGGCTCATTGCCAAGTGCAGTTTCTTATGATCTTACTCAATATTTGTTTATATTTAACCCAAAATATTAATTTTTTAAAATAAAATTTAGCATCCGGTTTATATTTTGAAACCAACAAAGTTATTTTATGAAAAAACTTTTGGATTAGTTAAAAGTCATGTTTTGAAAAAGCTATCAATTATTTAACTGTTAAATTTATGGTTTCTATAACCAAATATTTACAAATAACATGTTACATTTTCTTACCCTATGTAGTTAACTTTTTGCTAACGTATTTTTGCTATTATATTATATTTATATATAGCTTCCACAATGGAAGTAACGTTTAGTGTTTCATTCTAGTGCCGGAAGTTTCGATCATTAAAACGCAAGTCCACTGAAATTATTCACAGCTGTACATTTTTGATTTAATTTCGTCCCACGATCAGTACTGTATTGTGTTGTATATCATTATTGTTATTAATGAAACATTGCAATATGAAATTTGTTGATTTATTTTCCCCTTTTTTTTTTTTAAATTGATGCTATTTCCGCATTCAATCTGTCACATAATACAACAATAATTACATAACCATCATAAACAACAGTATGAATAAAAAAAAATACTTTAACATTATATTTTATAAATAAAAAATACATTTAATAATTATCATTAGTTTATCAAATCTCATAATTTTTAATTAACTCCATAAATGTTGAGGATTTTATTAAATTTATAAAAATATTGCCAATTTCTAAACATTATCAGCATTTTAATCTGCACAATATAAGTTAATACTTCAATTTTGAAAGTAACAATTTAATAAGTTAATATAAAGAAAATGTCTTTGCAACCAATTGCATCAAACAAGTTTGGATTATCAAATTCATAAATATCTTTTAGCACCGAAAATTATGTTATATAAGCAGTAAAAGAGCAATTGTAAAATATCAAAGAAATAAATATAGGTGTTAATCTCGCGTGCACATGTATTCTATATCTAGCTCCATACCCTCCTTGCTATATTGTATTGTATTAGTGTAGCAAACGGGGTGCATTCACAATCAGATTCTTAGAATTCAAAGGGAAAAACATTTATGTCCGGGTAAAGTAGTATATCTATACATGGCAGGTGCGTCGAGGACAATTTTCTTTACTATATTTTATAGCATGAACATCACTTTGATAGCTGTCTATTTCCATATCAGACAGAACATACTTAAATCGGAACAAAAACTTATATTTGCACTGTACGTTCATTGCCACGTGGCTTCGAGTCGATTTGGAAATCACAGTATGTATGAATATTATTTATTGATAATGACTATCGGATTTGCAAATAGTAGAGGGAAACCTTGTTACAGTGCTCTTCAAACGGTATGCTATAGGTGCAATAGAGTAATAATAACTGCAAGTGTTATAACAAGAGCTCACTATATTTTCAAATATTAATGCAATGGATTTTATTATTTTCTCATCTTTATTGAACTTCATTTAATATGCATATCTAAATTTCTATAGCAGCTAAATAGTTTTTAGTCCTATTGTAGTATAGCTAAGCAGGTGAAGAAAAATATGAGATCATTTTATTGCCAGTTTTATGCTTGAAAGGCTACTGTCATTCTTATTCCAATAAACTTTTAAAATGGTAGATCAAATGATTTATCTATTTTTTATGAGCACTTGACTATAATGCATTATATTCAAAAATTTCTCCATCACATCTATTACTGATGATTGTTTTATGTATCGTTATCTGAGAATATATTTTCTGTATTTAATATTTTTTACTCGTTTGTGTGAAACGATTATTTCATCTTCTTCTTATAATATCTGTCATTATCGCTAAACATAAGTGATATTCACACATTTACCATTTTTTGACTATCTGAAAAATCATATAATTATGATAATATCTAACTATACTCATCGAATCAAGCAATATATCATTACTGGTTTCACGTGTGATAGGCTTTCAAAGCAATCAACTTAATAAGTATTAAAGGTCAAAAGCAATTGAGCTAGATACCTTATGACTGCAGTGATTCAGTTATATTTTCTTGCATCACAAATGAGTATTCAAGATATAAGAAGAATAGTGTTTTCTGTTTAATCGTATTTTCTTCTTCATTAAGTTCATTTTTTTCCAAGATATTGAGAAAATAAATATTCAATAATAATACGATACATCTTCCTTATCTATCAATCTTGAAAAGTCACTCTTAAAAAAATAAGAATGTTTTCTAATTTTTTTGCAGTGTAATTCTGCACATGATACCTAGATGATCCATGCTTTAATTTCATGATGAACTTGATTGATTGATTTTAAAAAAAAAAATTCTAGCTGTAACTGTTTATTAATTGTTAGGTCTATGATTGATATGTATTTATTGAGATCATGTATTTAATTAACAGCCAATGATGAAATACGAGCAATGGCCGTTTGGAAGGCAAGGAGGATGATTCAAAATACAGGAATGTATCCATATGATTGTTACAATGTTACGGGAAATATTGGAGCATCAACTCATTTTGGTTTTCCACCTTACATTGGAGGAGTGGCACCTCCACCTACTGTACTGGGTGGACCTTTACCGGATGTGATAAGCGCTCACGTTCATGCAAGCAGAGTACCTTCTTCAAGTCCTGGCAGTCCTCCTGAACGACCAACCACATAGTCATGGTAAGTATCATACTCTTCAAGTTTTATTATTATTTTTTATAAAATTAATATACTGTTCATTATATCATAACCCAATGATTATGAAAGTTTCATTATGGATAAAAGTTTTTAATTATTTAATTATCTTCTTTATTTTTAGTGGCTATTTATATACTTTCCATCTATCCTCATTCATAATAAGTTTCAGAGTCAAAAATTTTTATGAGCATTTTGAAGACGGTTGATAGGTTTCACAAAATTATAAGAAGAAAGAGCATTATTCTAAAATTCTTCCTTGCCTGCCTTTACGGGCATCGTTCATACAAGTTGTGACAAGGTCTAGATTTTACTTTTCTTTTTTAGTCCTTCGTCAGGTCGGCTTTATCAAAAAGATCTGAGGGATCATAGTCAGTTACGCCCTCACTATTTCATATTTTATGTGACTCTTTAACGATTTTTTCAAGAATTGCAATAGTAACCACTGTAAAATGATCGTGGTCAAAGCACTTTCACGTGTCTTCATGACAACCAAAGAATTTGCTGAAGAATAATCACGGCACGCCTTTGGTGCTAAAAAATTTATTTCTTTACAATTTTTATATTTAAAATTATTCAAAAATATACTTTATGTATTATAAAGTCGTTAGCCCTTCTTATATATAATGATAAATATAATTATTACTGATCCTGTCAGATATTATTTTGCAGTAAATTATTTTCTTAAAGCCACCGTAGACGAAAAATTCATAGAAGACATAAACTTGAAGAAGAATTGCAATGAAGAGTCATATACTTGGATAGAAAAATAACCGTAGGATTAGGATACGTTTAAGAGCATAAAGATTCGACTTTCTTTTTCTTTTGTTTGAAGACTCGTTCGTAGACTTCAAGTCGTAATCGAGAATCCGTCGGACATAAAACAGATTTCAACCTATATAAAATGCTTTTACTTCACTGACTAGACTGCGGGTCTAGCAATACCAAAACGAAACGGGCGGGTTTGTAGTCTAGAAAAGTTCTTCCTTCTCAATAATCTTCCACTCTTTTGCTCGCTTGTCTTTACCAAACTCGTAATTACGCTATCACCTAAACTCAGTTTAATGGTTTTACGTTTTATTTTTCTCCAATTTTGGATCAAATACTAATAATTGTTGGCATTTTATTTTGAATCATTGATTAAATTTAGTTAATTTTTAATCACATTAATGAATAATTGCGAGTAAAAGTCTCCGTTGTTTTTTTTTTTAATAAAAAAAAATAACAACTTCATTTGCCGCTACGATTAGCTAAACGACGCATTAGACAACAATATTGTTTTGATAAAAAAAAGCAGTAGATAAAGAAAATGTAGAAATAGTTAAAATACTTTCATCATAATTTAAATTTACAAACAAAAAATAGAATAATCGTCTTCTAATCTAGAAACTCAATTATAAACAGAAAGTAATTATTTTCAGAACATACAACATACTGATAGATAATAAAAAAAAATATATTTTCTAATAATTATTTATACTTATCGTATGACGAGACATTGTCTTCTTCAATATAATTCAAAAAGTCATATGTTATAGAATTAAGAAACAATGTAGAAAATTTCACAAACTTCCTTAGTTTAGCCTATAAATCAACCTATTCATTATCAGGTTTGACATTATCAGCATGAGAAACATGTAGTTATATATTGACATAGCTTTTCCACTTTTTTTTTCAATTACAAATGTATGTATCATATCAGGTCTTTTTGCTTTCGTCATTCATGAGAAAAAAAAAGCCAAAATCATCAACACTTATTTTTTATTGTTTGAAAGTTGTGGTAGATAATTATTGAATGAGAATGGTGTTATTCATGAATTATCATTCATTTAAAAAAAAATGTACAGCAACAAGACAGCTTTCTCATAATCCGTTGTGCGTCGTGGGCGATGACAGGATGGCATAAAAATTTTAGATGTACCCAAGTTTATGCATAACTAAAGTAATAAAATAAAATTGATGAATAGTTTCACTGTTCAGATATATATTAGTTTCTTTCAAATTAAGGAGCTGCATCATTTGAGTATGCGAAAGCAATAAAATCATAAATTTATGAGTGATTAAAATCGAATGCAAATATAGTGCTTTTAATTAGGACTTTTTCACTGATCATCAGATGATGAGCCCAGAAGTGTACCCGCAGTATCAATAGTCCTTGTATATGTCATACAGATCTGAAGGTTTCACACTCACAGGTATTTTGGAGTAAATTGCACGTTTAAAAGTATCTTCATATGTGTGTATATGTTTGAACTTCTCTTAGCACAAAAGAATGACGAGTGGCGATGAAGAAAGAAGAGACGTTGAAAGGGGAGACCCGATTTGCAGTAAGCAGCATCAATGTAATCAGACAGGCCGCTCAGAGCGAATTTAACGACTGTCGTAAACGGTCTCTGTTTTACAGCTTGCGTATTTTTTAGCGTCCCGCTCCTTCATCCTTTCTATGCTCCACCTTTCCATTTCTTCTCAGTTTGCCCCTTCTTCTTCTTCCTCTTCTTCTTCATCACCACCTTCATCTCGTGACTTGGATTTTTTTATTTAAATCTTTCTTTCCTACATTCTTGTTTCTTTTGCTCGTTTTGCTTGAACGTTGTAAACTATCTGATTTTGTGTGACAGCAAGTATAGTCGAGAACACTCAAAGTCGTTTTCGTCTGCGTTGAGCTTGCACTCACTGCACACAGACTAGATGATTTGCTTGTAAGTAACCTCACGAGAATCCATTGTAGGCTCGCGTGTTTGAACGTTACGGATTGCATCTCGTGAGATTTTACGTCGAAACGAAGCAGAAGAATAAGAAAAAAAATGTAAGAAAAATTGGTAAAGAATTGTGAAAATTAAAGAAGAACATGAGTAAAATATCAAAAATTATATATTGATAAAATCAAATAATTGCTTAAATTGTAATAGATATCATCATTTACAAATTATATATTTCTTCTTTTTTTTTATATTTTAAGCTGAAGCGAAATAGGCAGCCGCTTTTGAAGACAAAGCTATAATTAGTGGAATCGAATTGCGTGCAGTATTACCTCCACTTTATTCTCTTTGGTATTCTCCATTAGGCTTCTGTCCTTGTAGTTATTCTTTTACATATTTCTCTCTCATTCTTTCTCACCAATTTCTCATGTTCTCATCTCATTCACGTTTACCAGAGAACGTCAAACAGTTGTAAGAGATCTGGGTGTAAGAAAAGGGAGACAACGAAAGAGAGATTCCAGTGAGATGGGAGTTTTAGTACTTTCTAACCACAGTCATGGACTACAATTAAACCTCTATAAACCTTGTCATAACTTTTTCAAAACCCCTTGCTGTTTCTTGTAGTTCATCTCCACCCTCTTCTTAGCTACAAAAAGTCAGCCATATTGCATCTTTAATGAAGTTTCAAGACTGCTGCATCAATGAATGCTTCCGGCAGGAACTTACCTCGTTTTCTTATACTTTCTTTTACTCAAGAAATTTCCTTTGAAGCAATACAAAATACTTGGTATATTAAAAATAAGTAGTTGAAAGAGTATTCAAAGATCCAAGGAGTTGAATTTTGCATGATTATAGGCCTTGTAAATATTGTTAAAAATAAAAATAATCTTATGTTTTTTAATGTGTTGAATTTTGTACATGCAACGGTAATGAATGTACTTACAAGCACAAGTCTTTATGATTATCTTTATCGAATATTCAACATATACATACGACTCAATGTACATATGTGTGTTTGAGTGATATAGCAATACTTTGATACTTAAGTTGAAAACACTTAATTGCATTACTGTATTTAATATATTCGTCTAGGTATAGTCTGTGTGCAAATTTATAACAATATGCATATTACAAAATTCCTCCAGCTATACAATATGTATATTTGTGGAATAGCATAAACTGTCGATCAGAGTAAAACTGTTTAGGCTGCTGTTACCTGATCCTTCCTTTGTTCCTCTTTGATTCTTCATTAGCAAAAGTGGCGAGCATTATGACCTAAATATAATCCCAATTTTAAACGTAATGTGTTGTCGTATTTTTTTTTTACCACTAGTGAAAATGGAAACCAATAAAAAATCATTTTGACTATTAAATTATAATGAAGCAGCTTTTTAACTAAATGTTAAAATCAAATTTAATGTTTTATTGAACTTACTACTTAAAAATATTCTTTTTAAGAACAAATTTATTTTTATTAATTTTCATAAGAATCCATTTTTTTTTATACATATCTTTTAAACATTTTTAATGAAAAAAATATATTATTCGCTTGAAATAATTTTTTTACAGTGTATAACTCACGACACGTAAACTGCAATTTTCCTAACGGAATTTTTTGGTCTTCATACTAACTAAACGGAGCTGACTTTATTTTTCATTTTATAATTTTTTTTTTCATTACGTAAATCCTTGGTATAACATTTTTTGATGATTTTTTTTTCATGAAATATAATTACATGTTAAAATAATATTCGCTAATTATATTAATTATCGTTCTTAAATGTCAAGTGTTCACATATTTATATAGTTTTTTTTTTTGACACAATTAGATTACCAGTAAGCTCAAATTCATAAGTGGTCTCAAGAAATATTTGCACAATGGTGAGAATGGGAAAACTTATTAAATTATAATTCACAAAAAGATATAACATATTTAAAAAAAAAACCATAAATGTAATTTATTACTTGGAGTACTATTTTACACTGTAGAATGAGTATTTTTGTAATAAAGTAATATAAAGACTGGAAAAATGGAAAAAATGCAGTAGTTAAGTATTGCGGATGGATGAAAATGCAATGCCTACTACAAGAGGTTTAGGGAGAACTGACATTTATGACTCAAAGCGACCAGGCAAATGCCAGTAAAACTTAACAAGAAATATAACCAAAGTTCTCATCGACAGTTAAAGTCATACGCGCGAAAATACAGCCAAGCTTCTATGAAATACGACATAGCTTGCTGAACTGAACGATGCAGAGAAAGAAAAAAAGAAATCCAATGCCACAATCTGCTCAGAATATATAGCTCTCGTTAATGAGAGAGACTTGCATATCTCATTTCCATCGCGAAATATACATCAGTCAGTCACCTTTATTTTGCTATATTTTAAGTCACCAGCCCAATGTTACTTAATTCGTAAAGAAGCTGAAAATTTATCCGTTAATCTGCAAATAAAAGTTATAAACTCGAGTTCTTTCACGGCTGATGGAAAATAAGTATTTGCCATTAAATAAGTTGAGTAAGTAATATTTTATATTATTTTACCCAAAAGCATAATAACAGTAGTTATTTGTTGAAAAGTACTTGGAAAGTGTATTAATGCTTATGCAAAATATTGGTCTTTTTATGACACTAATAAATAATAAATTTTATGACACAACAATTTCTTAGTTTTCTTGGCAATATTTTTTTAGCGCTGACAGCACTTTTAACTTGAAAAAAAAATTTAAGTAGGTAAGTTATCAAATCCAGGGTATAGATGCGAATTATTTCAAGTATTCTCCAAGGATTTTATGATCGTTCTCTAAAAGTAGAAATAAGCGAAAAGCACTTACGAAAAGACGATATAAACTTACTCGTCTCCTATTCGTCTCTGTGCTTGTCAGTACGCGCTATTTCCTTCAATCGTTTTCATTGCAAATGCATTGCCTTTTTCCAGTCACAAAGTACTGCACAATGTTGATTATATAGATTACATTACTTCTAATGAAATTCATCCATTTATAAAATTATTTATTCAGCTTTTTTTTCTTTCATTTCATCAGAAATACTAGTATAAGTTGATTATGAATTTATTCATTGATAAAAGGACAATATACTTTTTTGGAACATTCAAGAAGCTCATTGATTGTATGTATAAGGTACCAAATTTGTTAAATTACATTTCTACCTTCTAGTCTTTAAAAGCCATTTCAGTCAATTTACTTGATATTCTTGCAATACAATTTACTTGTGCATAAGTATTTTTCTATAGTTTGACTCAATTGTTATCGATCGAGAGTGCAAATAAATGCCTTTTTTTATAATTCATAACTTTATGATTGAAATAAAGAGTGCGTTTATGCATTTTTAACTTTCATGCATAGAATACAAAATTTAAAAGTGTATAACACTAGGTTATATGTATTTAGTAGCATAAACTGCTATATTATTATTAAAAGTTTTTTTTTTCTGTCCGATGATTGAAAATAATGAAAATTAAATGAGGTAAGAATAATCCATAAAAAAGTGACCGTAAATCATTTTAAGTTTGACACATTTATGAACCCGGTAGTGACCCTGCTACCATCATCTTATTCTTGCTTTTGCATCAACGTTATACCGTCAACGGTGACGAGTTTTGCGCGAGATGAGCAAGTTTAGTTACTAGTGAATGCGAGAACTGGTGGAACGAATGACGACTTGGTATAAAAGGGGAGGAGAAGTAAGAGGATAATCAGGAAAAAGAGAGCTTCACAGACGCAGTGCTGTAAATCATACTTTTATGAGGCACCCCATGGCCGATCCAAGTGAGAAGACCATGAAGAAAAGAATGGAACATGAACTGTGAATCGATGCGTGTCTTGTGATATAGCTCTTCTAAGACATGCGGACGTCGAATGTGCCTTTTACGACTTTGTAATTACAAGTCATGGTCTGCTCAAGTCTTCCATCAGATCTTCTTAGTTTTATATATGTGTATACTTAGTTTTCTGGATAATCACTGTTGTTTTCCCATTTAATGCTGTTCGTTATAATAATTGCAGAAACATGGACCCAATTTTTCCGGTAAAACTATTTTTTTTTCCTTTAATTGCTCATATTCTAAAATAAAAATGTGAATTATTTATTGATCAGTCATGTAATACACTGTAACATTCAGTAAGTCATTTTAAATTGAAATGAAGTAGAAAAATATTGGTAATTTTATGTAACACATCTTATATATACCACAAAATTGAAAATTTGTTTAATAATTATGTGGTCAAAACATGAAAGAGGCGGAATCGTACAAACTGCATGATAGTTAAAGTTTTCTGAAAGCGAGTAATCGTAAAAATGAGGATGAGAACGACCTGAGAAGACTACATAGTACGAAGAGAAAGGAAAAGAAAATACTTAATTTCCAGTTATTTAATTTTAAGACTCTTACAGTAGAAAATAATCATTAATTGTAAACAGAATTAAAGTCAATTATACTCTCCCTTTATAGCAAAAAAAATAAAATTAAAAAATTTGGTGAAATTATTTCCATAAAATTAATAATCAATGTAGACATAAATCTATTTGTATCATACATTATGAATGCTTTTTTTTTATAACATAAGGTATCAACCCTTGGTTTGTTATGTAAGTTGATATTATTTTATTTAACAGTGCCCATATAATCCTATGCAGAAAAATACTATGCACAAAAATTTCGATATATCGTGTTCGCGATTTCTAGTCATCCAGTTGGTTCTGGTTCATATGTCAATTCGATATATCAACTTTCAAAAATAAAGTCAGAATTAAAATATGTGCAAACGTTCGACCTAAATTCAGTCTGTTGATAAATTATTAAATAAATTCCTTTTATACAGTCAAATAAATTCTGATACTAATAGTACTGCCAAAAAATTTTTATTTCATCCATCACAATTATTACTATCAAAGTGATTTTGACTTTTTATCAATAGTACATCTGCCATAATAATTAATTTCAAAACCTCAGTTATTTTTTATTTTTAGTTTTTAAACGATTTAATTTAATCTATCTGATATGATAAAGATAGAAATGATTGTTAACTAATATTTTATATTAATTGAATTTTTTTGAATTGGTAATTATGATAAAGGTGCGATTGATTGTATCACATATTATTTTATAAACAATTTTATAATAATTATTTGAAATTGTAGTGTTAATATTCGTATTAATATAATGAAATGAAATTCAAAACCATATCCCCTTCAGCAATCCCTCTTCATTTCATTCAATATTATTTATTTATTGGGAAAATTGCTAAAATTCATTCATGATTCATTCAAATACTAAAGTGAAAAAACTTCTAAATATTTTTCATTTGAATTTCAGACAATATTAGTTGTATCAAAAGCTGGAGAAATATTATATAACGATAAAGTGTATACCGTTTGTGTAGAGGGTGAGAGCTATCTTGGTTGGGTCCATCACTAGGGGCACGTATGAAAACTTAGTCTCCAGGTTTCATTTGACTGACTTTACGACGAAGACATAAAACGGATTTTACTGTCGGCTAGTTCGCCAGTTCTCGAGTCGGTAACATTGCTCCGGCGGACATAATATTCACCCCTTACTCTGAGAGTGCTGGTTTACCACTCACCCTTCTAGAATCCACATTCTTTCGTGCCATATTTTCTTCTGAACTTTTTGATGTTCCTGTGTTTTATCTCTTCGTTAAAGACTTTTTCTCTTTTGCGGCATTTCAAGTATCAATTTAGCTTCAATCAATGCAAATGTAATGACAAAGATGATAACTACTATTTACATAGTAATTTATTATAACTTATAAAAACAAAAAAAAAATTGTTTAATTTTTCCTCTTCTTCTTCGAATTATCATAAACTTCTTTCATATCATTAAACTATAACACATACTTCTTGTACTATAATTGAATCACTTATGCAGTTATAATATTGATCATAAAGTTTTTATTTAATTATTTATTTAATAATTTATTTGAATATGTAATGAGTTCTTATGTTTTTGCTTTCAGGTCATGTAAACATCAATGAAAATGGAGCTCTCTAATGGTGCTCAAAGGTTGAAGAATCTATATTGAGCTATGAAAACACCAAGATACACCGTATAATGAGTTGGTGATTTTATTTCTCAAGAATTTCATCGAATTTATATGACATTCCAAATATTTATTTAAGTTTTTAAGTGTAAATCTGAAACAATTATTGTTTTGGATATAAGTAGAAATAATAATTTTTTTTTTTGTTATAAATGTCAAATTTATGAATTTTGACATTAAAATTTTAAACTATTAAATAAGAGTTATTTTGTCAATAAGATAAATATTACAATCATTACTAAAGAAACAATTATCTCAACAATTTTTTTCAATACAGTATTTTTAAATTAATGTTATTTGGAAGTGTGTGATCAAATGTGCATATTCCATAAACATGCACATATTTTAGGACATAGATAATTTTATTAATGAATGTAATATTACAAAACAAAAAAATACTTGATCTTTATCTTTATTACCATGAAATTTTTAAAGTGTGTTATACATCATTTTTTTTTTTTATTTTCCAAGTGTGTCACTATATTATAATACAAAGTTTCTTCTGTTAATAAAATATCTGCAGAAGATGTAATAATATAAAAGTGTACAGCTTTAGTATATGTTGTAATGCGCTCAAAAACATATTGATAATTGTTTCATAGCGCATTCGATAAGTGTTACTCTTACTCTAATGGTATATTTCTTTAAAATAAAAACACTGAATTTATTATCAATGATAGATAGGAAATTTTAAAAATAGTCAATTTAAAAAAAAATGGTTATAATTTTCAATATTTCAATGTTATTTTTATTTTATAGTATTCAAAATATTGGTTTTCAATGATATTTTGATAAATAATAATCATTTCAAATATCATTTCTCATGTATTAACAATTAAAATTCAGAGAAAAAAAAACAATATAAAATAAGCATATTTCTTTATTGGTATAACTGGTTGTATGTGTGATTAGAGAAATTTCAAAAAGATACAATTAAAAATTATTAAATAAAAACAACAAAAGAGCTATAATATTAGTAATGAACCGTGCCAGAAAATAATTATGATTTATAGTAATTATTAGTCATATGACTTGAAACTACGAATTTATATTTTTAATCTAATAATTATATTGATATTATTGTTTACACATTGCTGAGATGTTAATGACAGTTTAGAAATAATAATGGTTTTTAAAAATGTTAATTGACGAAAAATATAAGATTTATTTGGAAATTAAATGTGATTGATATAGCATAAATTTAAAACTTTGTAACTATGTTAATCATCAATAAGATAGCATTCATTAGTAAAGTATATGACCATTTCTGCATCTTATATATCCATATTTATTAAACATAAGCATTGACGATGTGTCACGATCATAAAACTGAAATTATGAGAAGAATAATAGCTGATTTTCATTAGATATTTTTATGAGGCAGGAATAAATAATATGAAATAAAACAGGTTAAATAATATAAATGATTATTATTCAATCAGAAACCTTATCAAAGGTGTTGAAAAAGTCGGTATCTATTTCATCAATTAATGTACTTACGATAAATCTGACCATTGTAATTATTTATTGTTTATTATTCATGAAAAAGCATAATGCTTTTTATTGTTGCTGCATTGACATTTGACTTGTTACATGCAACGTGGGAGAATGACAGACTAAGTGAAGTATATCTAAAAGCGGCGTGGATAAATATCTATTTACTCTTGGAAATATCAGAATAAAAATTATATGTGTAACTTCTTATATATTTCATTTTATCTTTGAATTATAGAGTATACGATAATGCTAATAATATTTATTTATTTATGGAACCCTATCTTATTTTATTGCAAAATGTCACCTATCTGGTAGGTACAGATATATTTCTTTAAATCATCATATCCAATTAATGTTTGATCAATATCATCAAGTGTGTATACATTCGAAAATTTTTTTGTTAAGAATTAACTAAAAAAAGTTTTAAAATGCAATTATCTTTGAACGATTAAAGATATCAAAAAATATGCAAAGGTCAAGTTTTTTTTATTTTCAACTGCACTAACAGATAGAAATTACTAAACTTAAATTTTTTGTATTGAATTTTTATGCAAAGAACTTTTTTGAGAACAATCGTAAGTGATTAATCCAATGATAATTAATCAATGATAAAAACTTTTAAAATTAAAAATCAGTATTGCAAAAATAAAAAACTTTTTCCAATAAACTGGAAGAATATTTAAAATAATGTTATATCATGATGATTACATATACATGTTTATACATTATAATAATAGCATAGTGCAATAATTCTATCGTGTATATAGATAGAGATAAGAAGTATCTTACAACGATACCAAAGTTGGTATTTAAACAATAATAAAACGTATCATGGATCTGTACTTTTTTTTATATAAAACTGGCATGCACAAACGGGTGTGTACCATCTACTGACACTTGAAGTGTATATCATGTTATAGCTGAAAAAGCGACCCAAGTCGTAACTGCGTGAGTGCGCGAATTCGCATAAGCCTATAAAAGTCTTCGTAGTGTTTAACTGCCTAGACTCAACGTAAACTAAGAACTAAATTGCTTAGATAGTGCAGAAATACACTACACAAGCAATTGGCAGTCATTTATTCGTCTCTACACTAGTGACTGACGTGCATAGCCTTTATATAGCTATTCTTTGCCAGTATTTAACGGCCATGTAGTATATTTATATGTATGAAGGGTAAAATATAAAAGCAACTGTTAAATTTTTTTGCGTCTTGCATGACTTTTTTTTTTACTCCTATGCTATTTATAATAACTAATATTCACTATTTAATCAAACTTTAAATCTATTGTAAAGCATTAAAACGTATCGTTATAATTAAATGATTCAGATAATTGATCTTTAAAAAAGGTTTTAATATTTCTATACACGCAACATTTGTAATATCACGCTTATTTTATATTCTACGTTTTGTAATACAGGTTCGAAAATAGTCATGTATTTTTGGTATAGCAGAATGTTCAAGTTTCATTATATAATGTACTAGTTGTTGAATCCACGTGGATAAGATTATTATATTTAATTAATTAATACCAGTATCAACTTTTTTTATACGTCTCTTTTATTAAGTGAAAAACTGCTAAGAATCATTTATGATAATTAGAAAATTTCTCAAAGTCATTTTACGTATACGAGAATAGACATAGAAAAGCAATTATTTTGTATTTACAAACTCCTAAGATAACTGTATTTTTTATGATAAAACTTTATTAAAATATTGGAAGACTTATCAAATTAAAAGTTTAAATATAAATTTAAAATTGTCAAAAAAAGTAAATATTTAATTTTTTTTTTTAATGAAAGACCTAAGATTGATAAACTCATTATGATCATCAGTAGAGAAAATCAACATCGTTAATATCGGCACAAGACTTTTGGCTTTTTATTTAAATAAATAATTTAACATAAGATATATAATACTTGTAAATAATAATTATCAATTAATAAATAACTGTACGGTCTTTAAACTAATTAGAAAATAATTAAAAAAATATTTTATCAGCTATAGGATGTACAGAAATCCTCGGATATATTTCTGTTATATCAACACATTACAGGGTTTTTGCTAGGGATTTTCATATTCCAACGTTCTATTCAAGTTCACATTTGTTTTTCTATTTCGATAAACCTCACTGCACACATGTAAATATACAATTGTCAATTGTGCATTTTTTTAAGTTTGTTTTTAATCTTGTCGAATATTTATTTGTCATGAATTAAAGTTCATACATGGAATAAAACACAACTTATTGGTGCTAGTTTTGTATCATAAAAATATTGTATAACTCATGTCAATGTTTGGTCCTGCTCAAATAAACAGGTTAACCTCACTTAATACTTTAATTTAAATCAATTATTAAAAGATAATGTAAATTTAAGTGATGATTTGATAAATTATGTCCTGTCATACAAAATTTATTGATAGAAATATTTCCTTATAGGTAGCAATGAATCCTACTATTGCAAAGAAGATCACACAATTTGAACGGTTTATCAATGATGTTCTCAAGGCTGATTTAGCGAAATTAGCTCAAAAGTTAGATGAAAAAAATTCAGAAGTTGCTGAATTTATTCAGCTAAAAAGTTTCATTACGACATTGAAAACGACTGGTACGAGTGAAAGTGGCTTTAAAACTAAGGTTGATCTTGGAAACAATTTTTTTATCCAAGCTCATGTAGAAGATGCCACTCACATTCTTCTTGATGTTGGTTTAGGCTATTTTGTTGAATTTAGTCTAGATGAAGCTACTGCTCTCATTGATGTAAGAATAAAACTTTTTGAATCTCAAATTGCCAATCTTAGAAAAGAAATTGCTAAGACAAATGCTCATATTAAGGTGTTAATAATTGGAATCAATGACTTAAGAAACGCCAAAACGTGATCATAATTGCAATTAATAATATTAACTTGTACATCAGTATGTTAATGATAATCATATTTTTTATTTTGTATGTATCATGTACGCAAAGTCAATATATTTTATAGAACAAGTTGTATTTGTAATACGATTATCCTCTGAATAATTTATGAATTAAAATATTTCTTACTTATACCAGAGACAAAGAATATTTGATTTATCATATTAGTAGTGTAATACTTAATATTTATTATTTACAATGTTTTTTATTTTATCAGCAGTGAAAAAAGTAATTCTTATTCAGACATTCACAAAGAGCATTGGAAGAAGCATCCGTGGTCTACAGATGTCTCTATCTTATAGTTATCCAACGCGATAAATATTGTGTAAGGTAACGAATTCAGTTTTACATATGTATCCTTAACGTGATGTTTATTTAACAGTTGATAGTAAATTTGCCAGAACCTATCGTGCCTACGACAGCCAAGAACGTATTGTATCTTGCAATTGTATCGATAAAATTAAGATTTCAGTGGAGCCTTGATTGCAAGTATTTTTATTAACTAAAACTATACTTGCTGGATTTATATCAATTATTGTTCTATTACTTTTTTAAATATTTTACTTGAAATGCGAATAAGCAGTTAAGAGAATATTTATTTTATACTGCAATCATTCATTAAATTGATAGAAATATATATAATTATCTCTACTGATAACTATTTCAATCCCAAGAGTATTTATCATGGGAGTATAAACTTGGTGTAGTTATCCTTATTTAAGTATCGAAAATTTCAAATCGATAAAAGGATATTATTATACTAAAACAAGTGTTGAAAAAGTTAGTGCATAATTGAATGAATAGACTAAATAGTTCGTGTTCATGAGTAACATTATTATTTTTCAGATCCATTAGTGTATTTAACGATTTTAAAAAAACATACATACATGAACTGAAAGTTAGACATTAATCCTGATTCAAATGACAGCAAGCTATACGAGGAAGCCGTATTTTAACACGAATAAAACAGCTTGTAACTAGAGCTCGACAGTTCTACAGTGCTGCACATACTTAATGTTTAAAAAGAGTTTATCTAATTCAGATTGAAAATAATAATCAATCATTATTATAATGCTCTATGTTATGAAAATTAAAATAAACTTCAGACGACGTATTCTATCAGTGTTTCTCTAAAATGTATAGTGTTCAGTTATTTATTTAAGTTGTATTTTTCTGGGTGCTTTATAAACAATCGACGGCCCTGACTTTAAACCTTTACTAGGGGTGCTTGCCCTTAAGATATGCTTAACTCGAACAGTATTTCAACGTTTGTTAAAACAGTCACTGCTATTACAAGTTTTTGTTGTTCCAACTAAAGTGCTCTAAATCAACGAAAAACGATTATTGATTTAGTTGCCTTTTAAAACTCTACTTTTCCTCAGATTTTTTCAATGAAATTCATCAAAAGTAAGAAATAAGATTTTAAATTGAACATTTTCACCCATTATTCATGAATAAATTTTGATTTTTTTCAGTTCGATGGTCTACACGCGCACCTGTACGTAATTATTGACTACTAAAAATCGTAATGAATATTAATTTAATTTATATAAATCTTTTTTTTTAGTCAAACTCCTCGAGTTGCTCTATCACTCTCGCTTCTTAAGTAAGCTCGAACACCGATTATGACGAGAGGTCCTTGTCGAGATTTACGTTTAGCAAAAGAACAAATTCAGAGGTAAGTTTAAAAAAAAAACAAGTTTCAAGTATAATATTTTAAGTCTGTAATTAACTAGATAAAACCAAGAAAGTTTTAATGGAAGTTATAAATAATAGCAGCTAATTGATTAGAAAAAGACTAATTATGACGTTCAGTTACAAACAATTTCTGATAACAGATAATTTTTTCGTTCAAGTTTTTTAGCAGTTATTCAGGAATATTACCTTTTACTATTTAATTATAAAAATTTTCTCCTATTTAGAATGAAAAAAAGAAGTCTGACATAGTTCCAGAAGACATAAGATGTTTTTGTCATAGTCTACTTCCTTCTATCTTTCTGCAATGAGATTTTATGACAAATGCAGTACACCATTCCCATAGCATATATCCCGTCTTGAGGAACGAAAAAGAGATAAACCGTTGAGGTGATGAATTGGCGGTCGGTGACCGTTGCCTCAGTAAATTATGATCTGTCCAGTCCCGTGGACATTTGGAATACACGTAATAACGGTTGAATGATGCGCCTACGCTTTGTAGGTACTCATGCAATTACAGAATTTTGCAAACCAGTCACATCGCTCACACTCACATATGTATTGTATTTAACAAAATGTCATCTGTACGTCAAACGTATTTGTACGAACCACCTATAACGGTAAAATACATTAGAGTAATTGACGGCAGTGAATTAATCGTGTGTAGGCAAAATACTATGGACATAATCTTTCGATTCGAAATGTATGTTGGTTGGCTTACATAAATGTAACAAAGTAGTATGACATTTTGTACATCAGCGATGCTTTATTGCAATGTAACGTGGTTGTCGTTGTTCCCATATGCCGCGTGAGTTTGCAACTTGTTCTAATGTTATTCTGACTTATTCCACTACGTTCTTGTATTACTCATTTAACGATAAAGTGGTTAAAACGATAAGTTAGTCGTGTAAGGGACTCTCAATAGTCGATAAGTGTCGTTACTTGGTGACGTCCTTGCTTGTAGATTTTACTATTTTGCATTTATTACTTTATTGTTTGTTCTTAGGAAATGGAACTCATGGAAGTGTATCATTATCTCATCGAAAAAATATCAGGCAAGTTTTATTCTTATGTCAACTGATCCAAACTTATAGATTTTATGTGTAATGATAATATTTTAAGTATCTGGAACTGTTTAGTACTTTATTCAAGTACTACTGTTTTCATTATTACAACATTTGATTGAGTTTTAGGAATTTTTCATTATTTGTTAAAAAAGCCTTGAAATATATTTCTAGTTTATGCTAATTTATGAAATTATAGATTGTAGAAAATTGATAAAATTATGACTCCCACTTGCGATCGTATTTTACGTAAAGCATTAATCAAACATCATTGAATTGAAATAAATTATATTGATGTATATTTGAAATTAACTTGAATTGTAAGAAGCTATTATTTTTATAATATATGATCATTGACCATTTTTAACGAAATGTATTCTGGAAATTGATAGTATCGCATACTTTCTAGTATCGTTATGGTATATTTGATAGAGTTATCAGATTAACTTAAAAAAAATTCACATACTTGATAAATGTAGAAAAAATTCATTCAGTAACTAATTGTTAGCATGTTGCAATATTAAATTATTGATTTCTATGAATAATTACGATATGTTGCATCAAACTATTTTGTATTATCTGCATGCAGACATTAATGATTCCAGTTCGCCAAAGCGCGATTCGGAAGTAAAATGAAACACATTGTGTACTATATACAGAAATTATTTAAGTAAAAAAAAAAAAAAAATTAACTAGAATATTATCAACTTTTAATAAATACGAATGATTCTGAACCTTCCAAAAGTGTAGGTTATCATAAAAAAATATATAATATTGATAAGATGTACAAGTAATTATTACCTACGGGTAGTTATAAAGTTATTTATAAAACTCCGATATATTTTAATAATGTAAATAGTAAAATTACATAATTAAGTAGAAGCTCTTATTATCAGAAAACAATTTTAATTTATTCTTTTGGAGTTTATTGATTATTTTACATTAATTTAGAGTCATTTTTTCGAAATAGGCTAAAATATATTGTGATTTCTGTGACAGATCCCCGGGTGGCTAAATGGCCGCTGATGGCTAGTCCTTTTCCAATAGCAACAGTTATTTTGGCATATTTACTTTTTGTTCTCTACATTGGACCATGGTTCATGAAGAATCGGCAGCCTTATTCACTTAACAGAGTGATGATTTTTTATAATATTTTTGTTGCATCTGCAAGCGCTATAGTTTTTTATGGAGTTAGTATAATATGTTTTAGATTATTTATAATTCAATAATGAATTTAATATGTGACTTATACATTTTTTTCTCACTTTAGTTACTCACATCTGGCTTCACTACAAAACTCTCGTGGGGTTGTGAACCGGTCGATTTCTCTTATGATCCGGAGCCTATGAGTGTAAGTTTTTTTTTGCTTTTTTCTCTCAGAAAAACATTTTGATATGTTGCGAAGAATAATATTTACAATGTATTTATGGTATAGATGGCCAGATGGGTATGGTGGTTGATGATTCTAAAAATGTGTGAGCTCGGGGATACTATAATTTTTGTATTACGTAAAAAATTCAATCAAACATCTTTTCTACATATTTATCATCACGCTACAACAGTCTGCCTCGCTTGGATTGCTTGTAAATATGCACCTGGTATGTACACATACATTATATGAATTATTGATAAATATACTGTTCAACTAAACGAGAATAAACAATCAAATATTTACTATTTTAGGTGGCATGTGGACATTCATTATGATACCAAATTGTTTGGTCCATATTATTATGTATACTTACTATTTATTAGCAAGCTTAGGACCACACATACAGAAAAAACTTGCACCTTGGAAACCTTGGATAACAATTCTACAATTGGTAATGTAAAAATATATTCTGAATAATGTCCATGGATAGTTTAGAGCAGATAAAAACTCTGTAATATTCGAAATATTTCAACGCTCGACAAAAAAATATATATATATTTTGAAAATTAAATACTTCAATTCAAAGTAGCTTATTTTTTTGGGTAAAAAGTTTGAGTTATCTATTTTATTTGAAAAAAATTGCGAATGTTGTGATGGAAAATAAATAAAATAACAATGTTTTTATTGGAAGAAAATTGGTTGGAGATAAAAAATTTTAAAATGTACATTTTGTTTTTTAATGAATAGAAAATTCAATACAACAAATAGTTTTCATATTTCACGAAAGTGTTCTACTTTTGGTGATCAAACTATTTTAGTTATTTAAGATGTTCTATTTGCTCTGGATTCCTCATAGATATACAATACATATATTTCAATGAAATACTTCATTTACGGACATTTCCAAAATAATTCTCTTTTTAGGTCCAGTTCACTATAATGGTCATTCATACATCGCAATCTCTACTGCCATCCTGTGAACCAACGCGGAAACCACTAGCATTTATTTATATGTCTCAAGTGCTTATAATGTTTTATTTATTTTTAGATTTTTATAAGAAAACGTATCTAAGTAAAAAATCCGAGTAGTTAAAAGTGTGCGTTCAAATCAAATATATTTAACTAAAAATTGCGGTAAAGGCAAGATATGCCTGTTTTTGTACTTTTTTCTTAACAGTAAAGTTTGGAAGATCCTCACTTTGCAATTCCACTAAATTATTTATATGAATCGAATCCATGTCAATTTTTCAACATTTTACAAAAAAACACTTCCTTATATGAAAAAATTATTGTGAGCCCTCACGTTGTAGATAGTTATAAGCGGCCTGAATTACCTCCGTCACTAGTGCATGCTGGCATCGAATTAGCATAGTGGATTAGTGTGTTGGAGGTTTTAAGTCGACATGCATGGTCGCACGCCGATAAGACTTTATTAACGCGTACAAGCTATCTATCCTTTTCTCGCGCTATTTCAATGGCGTGTGAGTTACACCCAGTTCTATACAACAATATTTTTTCCAGTTTTATAAGAATATGTAGCTTTTTATATATCACCTATCTCAATCGCTTCCATGCAGTCTTAATCACGAAAATATATGTACACCATAATTATCGATTAGTAAAATTACACTCAATATCAAGTACATTCATATTTTATTTCTCGCAGAGTTTGCATATAAAATTTTTAACGATTGTACTATTAAAATGGTATGAAAATTAAACGGGTGAAAGTGTCGCAATAAACCTCTTATTCTAATAGAAACAAGTTCTGTATATGAAAATAATTAAATCATTCATCAAATACTAAAGTAGAGAAAAAAATAGTAAAATTATAGCTACGGAGTTTTGCTGCGCGTGACAATAGACAAACGTGTCACCGGCAGAGAATATTTTTTTTTTCTCAGTATAAAAATAAACAAAATAACAAAATTTAATCCCTAGTGGCGTTAGGCAATTGTGCTGAATTTATATAGCAACGGCTGGTCATCGATAGAGGGTATGCCTCTTGCCTATTTCAATTTGACCCTGCATTACATTACAATTCAGGCAATACAGATATAATTGAACGTCTAAATATTCTGGCGCGTTGTTGAAAATCAATGTATGTGTGAATAGCATTTGGTTAACATCAACTTAATCTTGTAAAAAAAAACCATGCTAGAAACAACACCAATTACCAATAATTAGTGGAAAACTGTAATAGTAGTTGAAAGTATAGATATAAAAATTTTTGCCAATTTTTTTATCTTCGGGTTATTGTGCAGCAGTGGAATATATTTCGTTCTGGCTTTTCCAGGGTGTGAGTTTCAGACGGATACAGCCAGCCAAGCGAATACAGTTCCCACGAGGAGAAACAGCTTAATTAATTGAACTTAATTTAAATGGAATTTAATTATATCGTTGCTTGGTTACTCCTGAAAGATTCTCTTTATGTGACATCTGATTTTCTTTTTCGATAATTATATAATAAAACAATTAGAAATTGTATACTGCTGTCAATACTTTGTCAATTAATGTAAAAATTAGTTAATTATTCTATTCTATTATATTATAATAAGTAATTTCATTTTAAAAAAATGCTGTCTTTCATTAGTACATATTTACTTCATTTACATAACATTTTATAGAAGATAAAAATGAAACAGTAGATAATTATTTTTTAAACTAACACATAATCAATTCATTGGAATCAAAATAATGTTTTGTAATATTACTAGTATTGAACTAATTTTACCATGCAATGTTATGCTAATACCAGAGATACACGAGTTGAAACTATTTGATACCTCCTTTATAATGTGTATTTAGTATTCGAAGCTTGAGTTAGGTAATTAATCTTTAGCGATCACATTATAGTAAGCTGGATAATCATACACTCAAAGCTACAATCAATACATTTTTTAATTATAAAAAATAGATTTGCATTTAATAAATACTTACGATGAAACTTATTATCATTTGATGAAATCATTGAGTCTCTTTTACTTCCTAAAAGTAGTTAAATAAAAATAATACAATAATTACATGCAAATAGTAAAAAAAAGGACCAAGTTATACTTTTATAATTTTTTTTTCAGATTAGTTGATGAGATAATCACGTTAGTAAACGACATTAATCGTTGCACTGAACTCTTCATCGTATTTATTTTTTTCTTTTTATTGATGTTAGTTATCAGTGTATCTGTAGTTCATAATAATGTTAGGATGATAGACAAGTTCTTATAGCATTGAGAGTAATGTTTGAGTTATGGGCATATACATTCTCCAGTAATCACCAACACCGTCTCATTTAATAATCGGATTACCATCATTAATGAGTTTTGAATTGATACTGCTGTCTTTTATGTTAGAAAACGAGGTAGAAAAATTATCGAGGGAGACTTTGATTGCTCCGTTGAATTACTTTATTTCTCTAGTATTTTCTGCAATAATCCATCCAAGTTCCATTTATAATTTCAATCGGGAATTTAAAAAAAAATTAAGTTAATAATATTTGTGAAGAAGATAAGTTTCTACATTCTATTGATCAGACTTTTGAAGTTTTATGAAACATTTTTTCTTTATTCATACTTAAATTGAGAAACGAGCAAAAATACGAAATAATGTTACAATATAACTGTTAATTTGATAAGTAGATATTTAATAGTTAATATTCGTCTCTTTCTTATTCTTACTTCTAGGAAAATTCAAATATCTTTACAGACGTTTAAGTGACTTGGAGTGGAAGCCAGATAACGCTTATAGTCGTTAAATAAGAATTAAGTTTCTTGCAAATTTAGATAAAGATGAAAAGGAACCAGAAAGAGAATGCTACGGTGTACTTGGAGATATGCGGAAAGTACTATTCAACTTGCAAAAACTATCTTGAACCTGGAAAAACAGAAAAATGGAAAAAATTTTATATATTAACTTCTCTTTCATCTTATTATTATATTTATAAAAATTCACTTGGATTTTTCATCATTAAAATTCCATAATACGGTTTTATAAAATTAGATTATTTTAAAATTATATATAAATTTATTATGTCATGGTAGGAATAAAAAAGTATTATTTTCTTAATTTTATAAAACCATATTATCGATCATTAAATAAGAAGATAAAAATAACCTGAGAAAGAAGATCACTCACTCTTTGTAATAGCATCAGACTGGTTCGTAACATCTTCTCTTCTTAAAGTCTTGAAATTTTTTGTTTAATTCATTATAATTATTTCTTTTGTAATAAAAAAATTTTCTGTGTAGATTGGTAGATTGATCAATACCAGTGATCAGTGTTTTAATAAAGAAAACCCTTCATTTACTTTCCCTTCTGTAATATAAATTAATGAAAATGGAGTTTATTAGACGTATAATTTTCTCAGAACGTAAAATAATGGTTGAAAATTTATTCATCGACTTAATTATCGAAATAAATGAAACTATAACATAAGTTTAGCGGAAGGTACTAAAGCAGATAATTATCAAGTGAATAGAGATGAATTTAGTCAGACATTATAAGCGCATTTAAGGGTCTGACAGTTTCCAAGATACTTTGTGGGCCTGGTGTAAGTGTGATGTTATAAAGCACGACAAGGGCGATGAAGAAAGGATGAAGACGTAGTTGAAGGGAGACAGAACGCATGCTACAGAGACTAAGTATAGTAGTTAATAACAACTGTAGAAACTTTGAAATTTATGGCTTTTTGGAAGATGAATTTTCATATGCTTTACAAAAATCATAATAAATTAGCATTTACAATGGTTTCTATTATAATTTTTAAAATGTACGATTTCATGTAAATATATCGTATTTTTTCTTTTGTTAAAAAACAAATATAAATAATATTTAACCAATCATGATATGAATGTGATTGACAGTAACATGAAAATGTCTAAAAATATATTTTTGATTTAATTATAAAATGTTGAAAAATGATTATTGACTTAAAAGCATAAAATAATGCGCCTGCGTAGTTTTTTTTATTTAAAATAATAAATTATATACTCACCCTAAGATTATTTTCATTTTTCTTTTAATTATTCTCAAGTATGTCCCACGAATTCCCTCGAGATTTATTTAACAAAGACACTGATGCAGATAAAAGTAACAAGTCTGCGCCATTTTTAAATTTCCTGTACTTGTCCCTTGGGCTCCATGAATTTGCGATTATGACTCTTACTTTTGTTTGATCTCAAGTCAAGCCGGTGGTTTTGGTAAAGCTAGGGTCTAAGCTCCAACAAGATCTTTATTTTACTGGAATGGATGAACCTCTGAGGTAATCCAGACTCCATTAGTGCTATCAGAAGTGACGATCGGTCTGCTTATTTTCTCTTTGAGAAGCAACCAGGTCAGTTGACTGCAGTGTCAACATCTTGTAAAAGTTTCCATAAACGCCTCATATCATATACCCAATCTTTTTTATTGTAATACATCCCCTCAATTCTTTTTTTCTTTCAACAGACTCTTATCTTCACAATATTCATCAGACTAAAGTCAATCTCCTATACCAACAAAAATGGTTTTACTCTTAAATTGAAATGAAATAAATGGATTCTAAAATAAGATCTTTTTCCATTTTTCATCATCTTGTTTTCAAATTATAAATATTAAAATTATCTGTCTCTCATAATAATTATTTCTTCGTTATTTATTATATAATTTTTGTTTAATAATAATTAAAGTTTTGAAATTTACTCAGAAAAAGTCAATGTTTTTTTTTCCTGCTTAAATAAGGTAGATCATTTACACGCAATAATCACAACAGCTAACATTTACCAAGTCTAGTCAGCATATCATTTCATTAAATGCAAAGTTGTCTCAAGTATATACTGTATGATTGAAAACCTAAGTAAAACTTTTGTAAGCAAGACGAAAAACAAGCACTCATTGTCGTCATTCTATGTACAGATAGTACAGCACTTGTCTAGCAAATTTCTTCTTATATTTACAATGTACCTGTATGATGGTTTGTCTTGTTCTACTTCTCAATTTCTCAATCTAAAACTAGTTGTGATGCTTCTTCCTTAAGAAAATATTATTCAAATGTTAATAAAGAACACTAGAATTCCCAGATAATTGAAAGTAAAATAATCGAAATTTTACTTTAAATAGTATAAAAAAATGTTCAGAAATTACTTTGAGTGTTTCTTGATCATCTTGAAGACACCAGAAAGGATGGTACAGAATCAATCATTTTTATCAAGATACATTTGAAGAAGAACTTGAGATTATTATTCTACGTCACTTTAGAAAATTTCTTCTTTATTTTCTAATGGAAATAAGTTTATTCTACTTAAAGTAATTAGACTTATATCTTTTAATTGATGATAATTGTTTGCTTTAATAATTATATGAATAATATGAATATACGCTCAATAAATATTCAAATGAGTTTAAATGACCAACTCGTTTGTTATTTTTGTTTGTCCAGGAAGTTACTAGAGTAAATAAATTCTTTCACAAAAAAAACATACAAGACACTGCTCTAAAACAAGACTTTCTTATGGCAGTAACATGACTGCATTGCTACAAGTTTTGTTTCTTTTTTATGTATAACAAATAAACTTCCATGGTTATCATGACAAAACAACTGCTCTAACAATTACATTGGCAAAGAAATTGACATGACACTCAATAAGAGAACTTATTTGGTAATTTATATCGTGCTTGCACATAATATATGAGCAGCATAAATAACTCGTGACAAGGTTTACTAGCTTAAATACGTAACTAGATTAATTTAAGAAAGTTATTTAGACCACCAGTATATACATCAACAACTGGTACCCTGATTATTATTACTATTGGACCAGGAATTTTGATTGAG